TATATTTATTTATTTATTTATAATTAATCGTAAACATGGTAACAAATAATGAAACATTGAAAAAATTGCACAATATACAAACTTAGTGTTCAGCTCGTCTCCTCCCTTAGATTCTCTATCTTTCAGGTATGGAATACCCAAGGAAAAAATACACACACAGACACATGCACACACACGCACACACACGCACACACGCACGCACGCACGCACGCACGCATGCACGCATGTTCACACGCAAATACGTATACACGCGCTCATTGACGACCCACGCAGACTTAACAGCCGCACTCGCATGCACTCGCATGCACTCGTACGAACCGTGTCGACCCTCCATCAGTCGGGCTTACTCAGTAGGTACGGTATATCTTTAGATTCTACGTGCGTATCAATTAATTTATTTGGCCACTGAACATTTAAAATTTAGTTATTTTTTATTTCTCGTCTCCTTGACTATTTCGTCTCTTACGATTAGGTAAGATTAGTCTTTTTGAAGTGTGTCCTCCTTCCTTCGTTTTTGATGAGTTACATTACAATTTCGATTCATTCCGTACCCTTTGTTTGCTTTTCGGCATTGTCGCCAGGATACTTGATTATTTTGTTGCACGCGGTATTTTAAATATCGGGATTTTACAGATCGATGACGAGCGAGACGAGCAATCTCCCGCTGATGGCCATATGTTGTAGAAGCGCTCGCGGATACAAGATGATAAAGTTGACCGTCCGTCGTAGAAGATCATGCACGAGGCAGGGAATCATTCGCGAAATATTCGGCTGCGTGAAAAGCGTACGAAAGTCTTATGCGGATTATACAGCCCGTAATATACTTGCTTATCTACATTGTTTCAATGAGTATGACGAGAATATTAAAAAATATATATATTCATTTATATTCTGCTGAGTTTTTCGTGATGATCGTTTCATCGAACGATCCCCTTACCCGCGCATGTATCGAATAATGCTACAGTCGGAAAAGATCACGAGAGAAAAAGCCCTTTAACTTCCCCCACAAGCATGCAAAATTCGATCGGGTTTCTTTTTTTTCCGCAGGAATAAAAAAAAAGCGCTGCGTCAACAATGACGATCGAGTGGATTACCTGAAAGCCGCGGAGTGTGTCAGCATTTAGTAAAAATTAGCACTGTAAGTAACAAAGCGAAACAGTTGTATCTCGCATTTGTAAGCTTCTTTGCGAGCGGGCTGGAAAACGGTAGCGGCAGCGGAATCGGTGGCGCGGGCCGCGTTGTAATTCGCACTGTAAATTCAGGATTAGCATCCGATACAGCGAATCTTCGTTGCCGTCGAAACTGGTCGAAATCACGTATTCAATTACCACGCGTCGCGTCCGTCTCGACTCTCCGCTGCGTGACAGCGCGATTACGATACGGGGAAGAGATCACCGGCGATACCGCGAGCGCCGGCGTGCGCGTTTTTAGCCGCGAATGTCTTCGCGGAGTTCCTGAAAGAAAAAGCAAGAGAAAGGAAATAACGTTTGGCACCGACAGTTTGCATTATTGTCCTCGCGAAATCTACGTTTTTTTTTTTTTTCTAGTTTTTAGTGCACGCGCGATACGGCGCTCGTGATACCCGGCGTATCTCGACATCGGTAAATGCGCGACAACCGTTGACTCGATCGTTTTGAAAAAGATAGAGGTTTGTTCTATGGTATATATACATATATAGCAATATATATATATATATATATATATATATATAAGTACATCTATATATTATACAATATTATATATTATAAGTATATTATATACTTACATTATATTATATAATAGATATTATACATTATATATATATATATATTATACTATATATAGTAGGAGCGTGTCTTTTCTTTAACATTATAATTCTCTTCTTCTTTTATCGCAAATGAGCATCCGCCGCGCGCCATTGAGGATGAAAACTTTAGGCTTTCTCCAGTCAGCTTCTCGCTTCTCGAAGACCTCCGGTTGCTAAAGTCGCAGCTTGAAATCTTCGACGGTAGCGCTGATCTTAGAATGTAACGAATTGGCAGTGATTGACGTCTCTCGTGCGAGACTTCCCGGGCGACTTCTTTGCTCGGCAATTTCCTCGGAGGTCCCCTCCCTACATTACATTGGCTGCAATTTCTCTTCTGGATCACTGCTGACCATGGATGTTTCCGTCTCCTCAAATTCGCGCGAATTAGCTGGGTCTATGATTTGTTTCGTGCGATCCCTTTGGCTCTTAAAGACAAGTGTCAATTATTTTTTCCCCTCCTGATCTTACGCATCAGGACAGTTGGAGGAAATATACGTGATTCTTTGGACTCTCCGATGAAGTGTTACTTTATAATAATACACCATCTGCTCGTCAAGCCTTCTTTCGAATTGTTCTCATGGATTGTTTTCGACATAAACTCGATCTTCGATTGTCTCCAAACGGCGTTTCGCTGATCATCGATCTCCTCAAGTGTTCCTCGAAAATTAATTCTTTTTGTCAATGATGGAGTCTGGCAAATCTCGAATACCTAATAAACGCAGCTACTTTCGTAGATCTCTCCCTTGATGTATTTATTCATCAAGCTTAGGCGTTCGATAATCGATCGCTTTCTACCTGCAGCATATTACTAGGTGACCTCAGAAAATGTTAGATCGCGTGCAAATGTCGAAGATCTCCGCGATCTTTACGAGGAAGAGGTCTCGACGGTCCCAACCGCGGAGTGTGACGCGCGGCTGAGACCGCTCGCGGAGACGATTGATTACACGTGTCTCTTCATGTGGAGAGCTAGATGGTCGCTGCGGGAGAAGCATCGGTCGCAATGCCGGCACTTGAACGGCTTCGCGCCGGTGTGCTTGCGGTAATGGCGCGTCAATTCATCCGAACGCGCGAATCGCCATTCGCAGCCCTCCCAACTGCACTTGTACGGTTTCTCCCCTGAAACAGAAAAAAGCAAAGCCACGTTAGAGAATTTAGTAGGGCACTTAATTCTCCAAGTAGTTATTCCCGCGATTCGAACGATTTCGATAACCCACTACAACATTCGAATTCATATGTTTCAACGTCTAAGAGATATATTTTAACGTTTATAATAAACTAGAGCGGTAAACAGACACGATTTTTCAATAAGATCTGTAAGCAATATAAGATTCAACAATAATTTTATGTTTAACAGTACGTTTAAAAAACACTACAGATTTGTCAAAATAAAAAGATTAATTTTTGTTTTCAGAAAATTGATAAAAATTAAAATTAGAAAAATCTATATAAAATCTGCAAATATCCTTCGTCACTTTTAATTTATACATTTATAACGGGATTGTGTTTAAGTAGGTAACAAATAATAAGCTTCCAAGCTTTTCTTTTTAATAATTCTTTCGATTTCGAGATTATGAATTAACATATATAATTGTAAATATTACTAAACTTGCTATAAATCACGTATGCCTAGGTTTCGGTAAACTGCCATTGTGAATCGACAGTTTGCGCGGAACATAACGCTGGATAATGCCCGTTTGTATAGAGATAAGCGGGACCACATAGTATCAGTCTCCTACTTGAGAAAGCTCGTTCGTTCAATGTTATGATCCAGGCACCGGGCCAGGGGCTTCCTTGATCATAGAACAGTATCACGATAGGCATAAGCTTACTGCAAAGCGATTCAATAGATTTCCGCGCGATGATACGAGGATTGAACGTTATTATCCCTCTAAACAGACTATCAAAGACAATGAGTAGTATCTAATCGTCGTTAACTGCGACGAAAACGTCGACGACGACGGGATTCGTGTCCAACTATCGGCACAATGGCAACCGCACATTGGGTGGCGACACGATACAAATCCCTGTGTCGCAAATCCGAGGTAATCCTGTGGGATTCGCGCGGCGATTGAATCTGATTTAAAAACCTACACAACCCTGAAAAATCCGCACGATGCCGCCCCCATTCAACGCCACTGATTTGCGACACATGAGAGAAATATTAAGGACCGGCCGTGGAAAACACATATGCGACTGTACGCTGAAATGGAACTGTTCGTCAGGCGGAAGGAGAGACCATGTGTTATTAAGTCCGTAAATAATCTATTCGGTAATATAGAAGGCGGCTGACGTTGATGAGGCCACGGCAGAGAAGAGACAATACGAGGTCACCACCTGTGGCGCGATGTTAGCGAGATTAACAAGCCGAGGGAGTTTCGCAGCTCGGAAAGAGAAGCGGGTTGAGGTTGAGGGGACGGGAGAGGTTGAATCAGAGGCTGTAGAAACGTCGGGACTGCGAACCCTATACCAGCTGGTAAATCGTGACCCGATAGAGAAAGGGTAGTTGACGCCGCGCCGCCCACGTCGACGTATCGCGACTCATCGATCTCACAATAACAAACGATTTCTATCCTTTTATGTATGTCCTAATACAGAATCGTGTCTCTAATACAGATACCGTTCTCTGCCATTTAATTCTTCATTGGATTATAATATTCTTGGTTCACGATCGGTTATTTTCGCAGATCAGTTAAGGAGTACGACAAATTAATTCTACCCCATTTATGATGGGATCTCGACAATACGAATCTCGACGAAATTCGAGAGAACATTTGTGTAAAGTATCTGTACTTAACTAATAAGCGAAATAGTAGATTATCTTGTTGAATAAATCTCTCAAGGAATAATGAAAAATTATGGCTCGCGTAAAAAGGTTACAAGCGAGGGCTTTGTCTTCCTGATTTGAACTTTCTGAGTGTCCGTGCAGACGTGTCTCTTGTCGCGATCTAGATACGTCCGTTGTAAAGTACTTTGAGCTCGCACTGAAATACGATCTTCTATTATTTTTGTCAAGGCACGAAATTTGTCGGGCATATCCGACTGCATCTAGGAACTGATGCGCGAGTATATTTCACAACACCGCCGTCGAGATAAAAGTAATACAAATGTGTGTATAAAACCCCGAAGAGAAACGTTTAACACGTCGCATGCCCTCCCGCGGTTCTCATAAATCCGAAAAAGAGGCGGAATTCTCGACTCCACAAAGTGCTGTTTTTAGATTGCCATGTCTGTTTGCGAGTTTGCGCAAAAGGCACGGTTGTAATTTAAATGTAGCGTTTTCCCATCCGTGTTCAGACGCGCTGCGTCTGAAAAAGTAGATGTAACAGATTGCATCGTGATTTTAGTCAGTGTTGACGAAGATATTTTCCATGCGTCGCGCCCGGATCAGTTTTTGACAGAAAAATACACTAAATTATGTAATCTGAAATATCATGATAATATCCACTAATATATGTTTCTGCAAAAAAATTAATATTGCTCTTTAATTATTAACCCTTCAGAGCTGATGGTGTGTGAGTCTAACGAACCGACTTAAATCTCTTTGTCGAAAATGCCGAATAATTCAATTTTCTTTGTATTACATCTGTATATTTGGCTTGTTCTTGTTAATAAACGGATTTTGTGCAATTTCATATTTTTTTAGAAAGCAAATTGAAAAGTAACATCAAAATACAAATTTATCTTGTTGGAAGAGCATCTAAAAATGCATATTTATTTGTACATGTTATGTATATTTGTATATTTGTGCAAATTTGCACGTTTTGTGTATATCTGCATAATTATCTGCCTAAAAAAATGTTTACTTATTAAAATATAGGGTAACTCCGGCAAATATACCGCGCTGGGATTTACGCAAAAGTCAGAAAAAATCGAAGGAGTGGAGGTAATTTTTCCGCAACTACTTTGTTACATGCCTTCATGTTATATTAATATTGCGTTACGATTGCAATTTCTTACTGTTAATATTAATGAAATGATTGCCAGTTGAATTGATTTGTCACTGTGTTGAGTAGCGCCATCATAAATTATAATCTACACAAAATAATTACTGTAGGACGTGCAAAAGACGTAGTGGTTATTTCGTGATACATAAGTAATAAATTAAATTTTTGATAGGCGCCGCGTATATATATCGGAGTTACTCTACTAATAAAATTAATTACTGCCTTTTAATTAATATAAATTATTTAGATCTTACAGATCTAGTGTCAGTAACTATGTTATATATTTTGGCTCGAGAGGATTAATTATGTAACCGATATTAAATTCTAAAGAAAGATAGGAAAAGCATCTTCAGATTTTTCTTTACAAAGTTACTGCAATCCTATAAATCGCAATACAACATTCATTGTAGATTTATATTTTAGATATATATATATAAATATCGTAAGTTTCGTTATATTTTGCGAAATTGGCACAAAGCATTTAAAAATACATATATATGTGTGTATAAAGGATAATTTCTCGAAACTCGGATCTCGATTACACAGTCACAATGACTGGCGCAACTGACGGTTTTCCCGAACGACGTTCTACGTTCCGCGAGAAGAGGAGGGATGAAGGGAAAAAATTTACATCGCGTTTCGGTCTCTTTCAAAGTTGCACCGAGGGGGTACTGGCGGGAACCCCTCTTCTACACCGAGTCTCTCATCCCTAGCAGGAGGTGACGACGACAAATCCAGCCGGGACGTGGCGACGCATAACCAAATCCATCCACCCCTTCGCCCCCCCGTTACTTCGCCACCTACACCCACCCTCGACTGGCTGTTTCCGGCGCCTCCGCCAACGACACCCGACATTCTACGAGGCCGCGACTCTGCGGAAAATACGGCACACGTACTTGACGTACCTCACACCGTTCATCCATCTCACCCTTTCGCCCTTCGCGTTTCGAGAAAAGCAACCCCCGGATACCACCATCCGTTCCCCTTGCCGCCTGCTGTCCTCCGCAGCCAGCTAGAGAAATGGTGACACGAATGTGCCTGTCCCCCTCCCTCCCCCCCCCTTGCGAGGGCGGGAATTGCGGACTCGCGTCGGAAGGAAATTCCGAGGAAGATAAGGATAAATAAGGTAACCGCGATGGAAGGTGCCGGTGGCGCATGTATTACAACTAGCCTAGCAGGCGAGAAGAAAAATTGTCGCTGACTTCACTGTTGGATCACCGCGACGATGAGAGAATACTCGTGTCTCGGCCATAAAGTTTCACAAGATGTCGACACGAAAAAAAGTATGATCGAAATTATGAATCCGTTGAATTTCCACGCCACAGCCTACGTACAGAATATTTACCTTTATTATACAACACATTCGGATAAATAAGAAAAATTCAGCAATTATCATATATATATATATACAATATATACACTAAAAGGAAAGGTTAGCTGCTGCAGCAAATTAGATGGTAAATATGGCATAGCATTTTAAAATTGGCTGCAGCAGCCAATTTTTATTTGCGATAGCCAATCGAAATCCTGTACTGAGATTGCGGATAAGTTGACACAACCAAAAATTGCTGTAGCAAATTTTAAAATGCTACGCCATCAAATTTGCTGCGGCAGCCAATCTTTTTTTTCAGTGTACACACACACACACACACGTCATCTTGTTGCCGTACTTTTC